CCCCAGGGCCGGCCTCTGGGGAAGGCGAGCGCCCGGAGGCAGGGCTCTGAGCGCTGGGTGGGCAGGAGCCCACCTCCCAGAGGACTCCTCGTGGCCCCGGGCTGCCCTGCCCACACCCAGAGCTCAGCCCAGGGCGGCCGCCTCAGCTTCTCTTGGGCTTTTCCCTGTCGGTCATGAGATGGGCCGCTTCCCGTTTTGCACGATTGCATCAATGTGCCCCGGGCTGAGCCCTGGCTTCCGCGGAGCCCCTGCATTCTGCACGGGAGAGGCCGGCCCCGGGGGCTGACTGCACCCCGGTCCACCGCGGAAGTGCCCGGTGCAGGGCTGGGGGGTGGGGGGGAGGGCGCCAGGGCATTAGGACCAAAGAACCACGAGCAGTCCGCTCAGTGGGTTCGGATCTCGGTTCTGCTATTCAGGATCTAAGAAAACACTCCCCCCCCGGCCCCCACTGGACCCCAGGGCCTGCCATGAAAAAGACATGAATGCAGCCGGCGGGTGGCAGTGACTAACACGAAGCACCTGCCGTGTGCCAGGCACCATCAGCTGGGCCACCTCATCAACACGGACGCTCAGGCTCGTTATTGCCCCGAGTCACCAGCTCCGTAGCGGGGCTTGGGCCCCGGGACGAGGGCTGCTCTGCCCGATGCCACTGAGGCCCGGTGGGCTGCGGTCTTTCCAGTGCGCTCCGTGCCGTGGGACTTGCCCCAGCCTGGGCACCGCCACAGGTTCTGCCTGCAGTGCCCACCAGGCTTGGGTGTTTTGGGTGCCCAGGTGCCCAGAAGCAGATGTAAAACCACAGAACTGGCATGATCTGGATCCAGTGTCCCCTGGGGTTAAATAAATGCTACGCCTCCGAGGGGGACAGTTCAGTCTCTCCCTTCCTCCGGGCGAGATAACCGAACACGGCGCAGGGTCTCCTGCTTGGCGGCTCTCGCTGTGAGCCAGGCACCAAGCACACCACGCCTGGCCACCTGGAGCCCCGAGAACAGACCTCCTGCCCTCCTCCCTCTCTGCCCTCCTCCCTCAGTCTCGGGAGGTGCCAGCACATGGACCCAGCACTGGGCCCTCGTGTTTCTGGACCACAAGCTCAACTGTCTGGTGGTGCAATGCCCGAGACAGGAGGGAGGGGCCAGGTGCAGTGACGAGGCCAGACAGAGGCGGCAGGGCAGGCGATGGTGCCAGCACCCAGGGGGGTAACGGAGCTGCTCTGAGGACAGGACATCCAGGCAAACACCGTCCTTCCAGGGTGCACCCTGAGAAACCGGGACTGGAGCCAGCCCTGTCGGTGCCCTTTTGAAGAGGGTGTCACGTCTACAGAGATGTGGGCAGCCGAGGGGCAGACACAGACAGGCACAGGCATCAGAGCTGAGACCAAACCCTCCGGCAGGAGCAGTGCGCCCATTAGACAGCGGAAAACAGCTCCCCCCCACCCCCACAGCTCATTACCTATACACACAGCTCCCCACACACACGGCTCCCCGCACACACAGCTCATTACCTCCACACACAGCTCCCCGCACACACAGCTCCCCGCACACACAGCTCCCCGCACACACAGCTCCCCGCACACACAGCTCCCCGCACACACAGCTCCCCGCACACACAGCTCCCCGCACACACAGCTCCCCGCACACACAGCTCCCCGCACACACAGCTCCCCGCACACACAGCTCCCCGCACACACAGCTCCCCGCACACACAGCTCCCCGCACACACAGCTCCCCGCACACACAGCTCCCCGCACACACAGCTCCCCGCACACACAGCTCCCCGCACACACAGCTCCCCGCACACACAGCTCCCCGCACACACAGCTCCCCGCACACACAGCTCCCCGCACACACAGCTCCCCGCACACACAGCTCCCCGCACACACAGCTCCCCGCACACACAGCTCCCCGCACACACAGCTCCCCGCACACACAGCTCCCCGCACACACAGCTCCCCGCACACACAGCTCCCCGCACACACAGCTCCCCGCACACACAGCTCCCCGCACACACAGCTCCCCGCACACACAGCTCCCCGCACACACAGCTCCCCGCACACACAGCTCCCCGCACA